TGCGGGGAGTTGGCCCACCTGCCGGCGTACGGACTCACGGGATCGCACCGGGGAAAGGCAGAGCGACGACCAAAAATGGTCGCAGTAGTTATATCGGAGATAGGAGATATGAGATTTACTACTTTCTAAGTCTGTTCAAGCCTTAGTCGCAAAAAAAAAGTCTGTTCAAGCTTTGCTCTTTGCTGTGACCACATGGTTCAGTTTCTTTTTAACTCTAGAAAGTCTGATCAAAAGTATTTAGAGCAACTCCAATAATTTGACTAAAATTACTAGCCAAATTTCATAGTTTAGCCATTCTGTAAAATATAAACTCCTAAAAAAGGAAGAGGTTTGCCACAGCATTGCTATTTGTCATCTTCAGATAGCTAGCGCCCATGATTGGCTTTATATGGTCACCTAAAATCAAGGGATAGACAGCTTCCTATTTTATAAAACCAGATAGCACATCTGTTGGATTCTACTTTTTGCTATATAAATTCTAAAATAACCTCTAGAACAAGAATAGCTGAGCCGTTGGAGTTGCTCTAACTATTTTCCAAGTATTATACTACTATACTTTTAAGGTTTGAGATTCCTGGTTAATACTATTTAGTACTTTCTGAGATTGATCTTTATATCAAATCAGTATACACTAGACAAGTACATTTAATGATGTATATAATGATACTAATTTCACAAATATTAGTATTTATGTTTGTAAATTCGGTCAAATTTAGAAAGTTTAACTTATGGTATTTCTAGAAGTTAATTATTTGGGGACAAGATCATACTCTCTTCGTCCTAAAATATAATGTATTGTGACGTTCTTTAAAATTTATACTAAAATATAGTGTATTCTACATCATGTCAATTTCTAGATTTGATAATGTTTATTGAAAAGGAAACCATAATTTAAAGAGAAACATCTTAATTGCGTTTAATCTATGAGTACATGCGTCATTTGAGGATTTCCTTAGTTATCTTAAAATTTTAGAAATGCACTGTATTACAAGACTGAGCGAGTATTTAATACTACGCCCATCCCAAAAAGATGCAACTACGAGATTTGTGCAAGTCAAACTAGCTTAACTTTGACTAAGTTTATAGTAAATAATATTAACATTTATGTCTCCAACCAAGTTTGATATGAAAACATATTTTATAATTAATTTAACGCCACTTACTTTGTACTGTAAATATTAGTACTTTTTTATATAATTTTAGTCAAACTCTAAATTATCTGACTTATCGAAAAGTAAGAATTACATCCTTTCATAGAGGGAGGAAGTAGCATGAACCGATCTTTGTGTATGCAAAAAGCATGCACATTTGAGATTACATATATATTTGCAAAGTTTAGTGAAATTTGAAGCATGCTTACTATTTAGTAATGTCAATATATTATAATATCAAATTATTATCATTAGAGCCATAAAATATATTTAGTAATGTGTCATTTTGTGTTAGACACTTTGTGATTTTTACTAGCGCCCGGACGTCGGGAACGCGGCGTCCGTCTAGACGTAGCTCCCATACCCACGCCCGACGCACGCCACTCCCTTTATCCCACGCTAAATCCTGCTCCGGCGGTAGCGTCCATCTGGACGGAGCTCTGAGGCTGCACCCGACAACCACCCACATCGCATCCGGTGCCCACGCCCGCCTACATCGCCCACTAGCGTCTGGAACCACGCCCCCGCGTCCGCACGTGAACCACAGTGGCGCCCCGGTAGCAGCACCAAGCTTGTTGCGCCCATCCTGCGCCCGCACGTGAACCACGGCGCCCCGCAGCAGCACCAGGCGGTTGCGGCATGCCATTGTACGCCAGCCACCAGCGCACATTGCAACATGTGCAACGCCCGATCTACTTTTGAAACATAAAGATGAACATCAACATACAACTGAAACAGATGAAAAATTTGAATTACACTCTTAAAGCATGCGCGTATAGCCATAACAACATATGCAACATCTAAATGCACTTTTGCGACATAAGTACGATAGACGCTTAGCAACGAAAGAGGCCCATGCATCAGCTTGTGCACATGCCGTGTCCGGCTCGGCGGAAGCGCCGCTGCTTGCTTGAGCGGCGACTCTACTAGCAAGCGCTCTCATCCCTTTCCACCGTGGCAAAATAGATCACTACTGTATAGAAATTGATTTAGTAGGATGAGAGATGGAGAGAATACTTAGAAGATATTAATAGATAATTGATTGGTACACTTTATATAATAAAAATAAATATAGAATACTATTTAAAAAGTTTGTTAATAGATCACTCCCTACATGAAAATTGAATCTCGGCATCAACACGCACCAAATATTTGAGGCAGGGATACGTCTTATTTCCGCTTCCTAAAAAGTGAAAAGTGAACATGCCCCTCGAATGCCTGCTGCTCGTGGCAGTATCAAGCTGTACTACAATCGGTGTGTGTGTCACCTACCCACAGTATAGCCCCCAGCAATCTAGCAAAATTAATCAAGGTATCATGAGGACCTTGCTTGTCGCCGCTGCGGCCCTCATCCTGTCCGCCGCCGGCGCCGGCGCGCACGGTGTCGTGCCCGCCGACACCGTGGCCGACTCCTGCCACGCGATAAGCGACTTCGTGGACCTGGACTTCTGCACGTCCGTGAAAATTCTGCATTTTAGCCCTTTCAAAAAATAATTTCTTAAAATAGACTCCTCTTAAAACTTTTTCCAAAAATAGACCGAGTTAAATAATGAAACGCCGAGATCTTTGAATCGACGTCATGTCTGGTTACTACGAAACCTGCCACGTCAACGCCAACGTGGCGTGTCACCATCGGACCTCGGCGTGCTGTCATCCAACGCCATCCGTCATACACCGGCGTTAAGTGATCTAAACGCAGCCGCTTTGCTCCCTGGTGACTTGCTACTTACGGCAAAAACAGGCCACGTATTCAAATATCTAATCGGCAAAGACATACATACTACTGGACCTGTCTCTCGATTTCTCGTTAGCTTCTTCTCTCTGGACGCTTCCTCCCGGTATATACCCAAATTTGTTGAGTTATTCTCGTCTCAAAAAAAAATTGTTGAGTTATTCCATGCAAGCTAACTAACTTGCTGAAAGAAATATTGTGCACATTTTTAAAATACTTTTAGAAGTTTTTTTCACAAAAAAATACTTTTAGAAGATTAAAATAAGTTAAATATTTGATCTATCAAGACTGTAGTGCTTAGCAATGCAAGGAAAAAAATCTACCAAAACTGTATTTTAATTTAATATAGTTATGTAGCATGTTTATTTCCGTTGCAACCACGGCCACGTTTGCTAGTCATCTTTCTCTATCTATTTTTGTTCTAACTCATATGAGCACGACTCATGAGTCCAAGCACATATGAGATATATAGAGTGCGACTCAATAATGTTCTTCTTTGCACAACTGGTACTGTTCTAAATCTTCTTTGCACAACAGCGCCATCTAACTAGGCTGCAAAGTCTTGTTATGAAAAGTTCTTCTATTTCACTCCTTTTAAACGTTCCACTAAAAGTAGATCATAATGCCATCGAACGCCCTTCTTTGGCCTTTATCAAACCTTGACCAACACTTGAGCCAGTAACTATGAAGAGATCCTGCCATTGCCACCGTATCAATCAACGATAATCCTAGATAGCGGGGAAAAATGGCAGCGGCCAGTGGCGCCGTGGCCAGGTGATGGATGTGGCGGCGGAGGGGAGGCGCTCACGACGCGGGCGTCGAATGAGAAGGTGGAGAGAGAGAGAGAGAAAAGAAAACTAGACTGTGCCGGCCAACCCTAAGTCAGCCTGTCGCGCCAGAGTTGGTGGCGTGACAGGATGGGCCCTAGCACGCACCATGCAGGATCCAGTCAGAAGTCATCGCCACGGTGGTGCCTCTTGTCGCGCCAAAGGCATATGCCTTGATAGCGTGGTCTTTGTCGTGCCAGCCGTCTTGCACATGCGATTAAAGCGGGCTACATTTGATTAATCTTTTGCGGTTATTAATAAAATATTAATTAAAAAGATTAAAAATCAGTTTTATAGCGGGTAGCACCGTTTGGGGACGCAGCAGCCACACGAGTGCCGGAATAGAAGCATTTCCAGCATCCGGGAGGAGAGTTGCAGTTTGAAAAGTAAAATGGTCGGGACGAAAAACTCTCATCATCCAGGTTCTTAAGAGGAGGTGGAAAAAAAAGGACCAAGAGAAATTTACCTCTTTATTAACAATAAATAGGTGTAGTTATATCAGAACCGAATATACCTTGTACCGGTGTCCTTGCTCTCATCGAGAGAACTACTCGAGATCATATATCTAACTTATTTTAATCTTCTAGAAATGTTTAAAAACGTGCGCAGCATTTCTTTTGACAAGTTAGTTTGAATGGAATACTCAAAAAAATTGGGTATGTACCTTAACGAAGCGTCCACAGAGAAGCAGCTAATGAGAAATCAAAAGAGATCACTCACGTCCAGTACGTATCTCCTGGCCGATTAGACATAGTATATTATTTGAATACATGACCTGTTTTGCCTGCTCCCTGTATAAACGGCGCAGATCGCCGAACTCTCCGTCTGCAAGTAGCACGTCACCAGGAAGCAAATCGGTGTTTAGATCTCGGCGTGATACTACTTAACGCCGATTTATGACGGATGGCGTTGGATGACAGCACGCGGATCTCCAGTGGTGACACGCCACGTTGGCGTTGATGTGGTAGGTTTCTGCGTAACCTGACACGACGCCGATTCGAAAATCTAGGCATTTTATTATTTAACGCCGAGATTTCGCTCTATTTTTGGAAAAAGTTTTGAGAAGAGTCTACTTTAAGAAATTGTTTTTCAAAAGGGCTAAAATGCAAAATTTTCACTAAACGTCCCAGCTGCGGTCCGTGCCGGGGGCAGCCACCGCGGACCGGTTCGGGCACCTCCTGATGGCCACGGACCTCGCCGTGGCGAGCGGCCCCAGGGCGCAGGACCTCGCGGCAGCGGTGGCGGCGGCGCGCGACGGGCCGCGTCGTCGACCCGGGAGAGCGGGACGCTATGCAGGCGTGCGCGTTCCTGTACGGCGCGGCGTCAGTGCCCGGGCTGTGGCTTCTGCGCCAGTACGCGGCGGCGCGGGCCTGTGGCCCCGCGCACGCGCTGGTGATGCTCACCATGGACGCCGGCGACGGGTGCGACGTCGCGGTCGGGGGATCTAGTGGCAGGATGGCCGGGCCGAACCGCGAGTTCGACCAGCTCAGCGCCATGGTCACCGCGCTGCTCAACAGCATCAACTTGAGTGGGTAGCCGCCGAGCCGGCCGGCGTCGGGCCGGGCCATACCCATGCATGCACACCGCGGTGATGGGGCAGCTGTTGGCGCAATGGCGCCTCCGGCGACATGGCTGGATTCTCAGTAATGGATAAATAGTGTAACTGCAATCAGCAGCTGATTTTGCATCGCACCAGTGTGTTCTGTTCATGTCTGAATCATGTATAAAAGATCCATCACATACCACACTAAATGATCAATATATTGTTTAGTAGCTAGGTGATGATTAGAGGCACAGCTTTGATAGGAGGGAAGGCTAAAACGCTGGTGTTGGTGAACTTGTCGCTGACGTCGATGGAGAACATCGCGGTCGAGACGATGTTTGCGACGCCGGCAAAGACGGCCTCCTTGACGTCCACGACCATCCCGGCCCGCGCCCGGAGGTACCCGAGCAGGTCCGCGACCTTCCGCTCCCCCGCCGCGCGCGACGCCGCGAGGCTGTGCGGCGACAGGACGTGCGCGGCCATGACGCCGCGCAGGTGCCTCCAGAGCGGGTCCGAGCTGGGCAACGAGAGGACGGAGCGGTCGCAGAGTCCCAGCGCCCGCTTGCTGTCCCGGACGGGGCGCGCCGCGATGCGCCGGTCGTGCGCCGCGAACGCCTCCCGCACGGCGTCGCGGGAGGAGGCCACCACCGCCGGGACCAGTCCCAGGTCCAGGCGCATGACGGGAGCGCCGTGCGCGCGGGCCAGGCGCGCCAGCGTGTGGTGGAGGCGTCCGGGCGCGTCTCGCAGGTCCAGGAGGTTCCCGACCAGCGGGAGAGGCCTCGGGCCGGGCGGCCGCCGCCCGGAGCCCGATCCCCGGCGGTGTTGGTTCGTCAGGTAGCAGACGATCGAGACGGCGAGCGCCACCCATAGCCACCAGAGCTCCGGCGCCGCCATCTCTAGATGTCTCGCGCTCGTGTCGTGCGCGCGAGCGGCATATATATAGGCTTGCCGGTGTGTACCGGTACAGCTACTCAGATGGATTCATCGCTGCCGCTTTGATGGCAGAGCAAAGTCGTTGAAGATGGACGACGTTGCAGTCCCCCACTTGGTACGCAGCTTCTGCCGCTGAGACGTGCTGTCACTGTCAGACAGATTTGTCAATTATGGTCATTTATTAGTATACGTATGTGATAAGCCGTGCTGTCGATGATACAGCTACGTACAATGGAAATGCTAAAGGACAACTGTGTGTTTTTTTTTCTCCCGGCACACGGTTTTCTGATCCAATCGCTATCTGTTTTTTTTCCTTCTCGCTGACAAGCTGTTCCGCATGTCTTCTCTCATGTCATTTCATCGTCTCCCCCTGACAACAGCGACTATAGAAAAAAATTGTCTCATTTTATAATATATTATTTATTTTTATTCTTGTCTAACTATAGAAAAAAATTGCGACTTGTTAATTGTCTTTAGGTCAACATTTATATTATTTTTTGTCCTTGCCTAACTATAAAAAAAAATTGTGATTTGTTAATTGTCTTTATTAATTTTTTGTTTAGCTATAAAAAATTGTTACTTGTTAATTGTCTGTGTCAACATATATTAGATTTCGTTAGGTTTATATAGTTTTGTGTATCGGATTTTTTATAACCTGATTCAAAAATTGCAGCAGCAATTTTATCATAAAATATATGCAATAAGCATGGTGGCCGTTGGATTTCGATCTGATGGTGGTAGAATTCGTGTGCTACTGTTATCTAAAGCAACTGAATTTGTTTCTCATAGAAATCGTGTGTTTTACATGGAACTAACAACCGTTTGGTCACGAAACACATGAATATAATATAGACATCCTCATATACGATTAGCCTGACGTGTTGGTGACTCAATTGTAGCTCTTCTTGCGTCTAAAAATAATACAGCTATATATACACAATAATAATTTTCTTTTTGACCAAAGGCCTTAGCCCTGCTTATACTGAAAGCAAACATAGTATCTGCTGGGGATGCCAGCTTTACAACGGTAGCACATAACAGTTCAAATAACGAAGCCTAATCAGCATGGAACAAAGACAACGAAAGAAAATAAAATGCATAAAGCTAAGGCTATGTTCGTTTCGCTAAAAAACTAGACGGAAAAATACTATTCACTGATTTATTGTGAGAGAAAAACACTATACAATGGCTGATAAGCCAGGCTGATCATCACTTCCCACCACACCTCCGATGCATATTGCCACCTCCAAAAGAACCCCAGAGAATATTACTCTCTCTGTTCTAAATTATAAGTCGCCTTGACTTTTTTTGGTACATCTAATTTGCTACGCATTTAGATATAATAATATGTCTATGTACATAGTAAAATGGATGAACCAAAAAAGTTAAAGCGACTTATAATTTGGAACGGATGGAGTACCATCATATAACAAAAGTGGGACTCTTCCACTTGAAGCTTGAAACATCTTCAGCGTCCCTGCTTCACTAGGTCTTCAATCCCTCTTGGAGCTTCTTGATAGTGTCCTTCATCTTCATCATCTCTATCGTCTTCAGAGGTTTCTTCCACTGACAGAAATCCCAAGATCAGATGAGCAATTACCTTGGGGGGTTTGATTAGAACATCATTAAACACCCAGTTATTCCTAGTCTTCCATAAGCTCCAGGCCACACTGGCCATAATAGTCAAAGAACAAGAAAACCATGGAAGAGCCCGAGACTCCCCCCGACCCGCTCTCGCCCTTCCTCATCGCCCCCGCCGCAACATCCAAATCGTCTAGGGCCTTGTTTAGATTGTATCAAAGTTCCAAGTTTTTAAATTCTCTCTAGATCACATTAATTTTTGGACGTATGCATGGAGTATTAAATGTAGGTAAAAAAAAGTAATTAATTGTACAGTTTGGTTGTAAATCACGAGACGAATCTTTTGAGCCTAGTTAGTCCATGATCGGACAAAGTTTATCAAATACAAACGAAACGTGCTACAGTGTCCAGATTACAAAAATTTGCAATCTAAACCAGGCCCAGATCCGCTCCATCCCCAACGCCTCGCAGTCATCAATGGCCAGATCATGCACCTCCGTCCGCGGATCTACATATTGATGGGTCGCAGCTCACGTCGCAGCCATGTTTTGCCATCCCCGAAACCACCATTGTCAGCCCTCAGCCATCGGAAAGCTCCGCCGAGCGCGGGGCGGTTACGGCTAACCAGCAGCCTCAACTCACCACCAGGGAAAACGCGCATTCAACTCCCACCGGCCAACCCACCAGCAGAGCGACGGGGCATTCAACCTCCTCCGGCCTCAATGCGGCCAATGTCAGCCAGCAGTCACCTGTGCTTCTGCCACAACCCGAGCTTCCGGCGAGCCCAACCGAGATCGATTCGGAGCTGCAGGCACAGGCATGGGCGCTCTTTCTAGATCTGGCAAAGGATTTGAACAACTTCAGCAGCTTGAATCGGCGGTCACGTTCAGCTATAGTGGGAGGCAGTGGCGCCATCAATCCGCACTCAAAGGAAGCCTGCAAGGAACCAGAAGACGGAGTCGAGCTCTAAGGCGCACCCCTTCGATCCAGAATCCCGGCGAGCTAAAAAGGTAAATTAGTGCAGAGTGAGGAAGGCATTCATGGAGGTCAGCCTACAACTAGCTCTCTTCAGGCTACATCTTCTCCCCGCAACGGCTCCAATGCAACAACAAGCACGCACCTGAGGAACCATAAATTGGACACCGCTTTTTGTGAGGATGGTTGGGACCCAGCTAAGATGCCTCGCCGGAAGAAACAAGACTCAGAGGTGAAGACCATTCAAAGCTCTCATCGGTCCTAGGACAAGCCAGTGGGTTCTGTTTCTTCAGGAGCAAGATGGAGGGCAGGTGCTATAATTGTTTTTCCCCAAATCACCTTGCTCATTCCTGCCACCGACCTCCACGATGCTGGAATTGCTACCGCTCTGGGCATTGGGCAAGGGATTGCTCTCTCAACCTTCGACCATCGTACCATAAAAGAGGGAGCTCTTAGGATCTTCGGCATCCCACCACCACTCACAACCTCAACACCAACCACAGCCTCCACAAAACCGACCACCGCTCCTTTGCGGAGGTGATCCACGGCGAGAAGGACATGGCGGCCACTCGGTATCCCGGGGACCCACGGGGCAGGACTACCCGTGCTTTCTGTGCCGTGACGGCCACCGGTGACATCCGACGGCGCCGGGATGAGCTCTTCAGTAGGGCTATGGTGTGCTGGCTCCCTGGCAACAGCCACGACACCGAGCCCTACCATCTCAGCGATGCCCTCCGCAACCAGCTCGACATCCACTACGATGACTTCCAGGTGCTCAAGCACTTCCCCGAGCAGTACCAGGTCATCTTCAACAACCCAAGGGACAGGCAGCGCATGGTGGACGTGGGCGTCCTCCAAGACAACGGCCGCCGGTTCCAGTTCACCGCCTGGAGTGAATGCCGCTACGCCAACAACATCAACTGGGAGTTTCGGGTCAAGGTTCGCATCGAGGGCATTTCGGTGCACTGCTAGGCGGAGGAGGTGGCAGCCAAGGCTTTGGGCAAGAGCTGCACTGTGCACTATCTGGAGGAGATGACCCACCGCCATCAGCGAACCAGGTCCTTCGACCTCTGGGCGTGGTGCAGCGACCCGTGTGACATCCCCACGAAGGTCTCGCTCACGGTCACCGAGCCGAACAGAGAGTACCCTCACCGCGATGAGATGATCGACCTCAAGCGCAGCTAAGTCTACGTCCTACGCAATCATCTCGAGGTAGTGGAAGATCTCTCGTTCCTCCAAGACCGTGGAAGGGTCGGGGGCCTACGAACCGCGAGGCTCGCCGGGTCTTTGACTGGGACTATGGGGTGCCCGACACGAAGGGTGAGTGCCTTCCTAGAAATTGTGGCCACAAGCATGACCGCAACATCAGGTCACGCTGGGACGACGACCACGACAGGGGCGCCCAAGGTAACCGTCGCCACCATAGCCTCTCCACCTGGGCAAGGAACTCACGTTGTAGGGGAGGTGCGGAGGACTGCATTAGCTCCAACTGTTGGCGTGGCCGTAGAGAGTCTCCACCATGCAGGGGCCAACCATCAGAAGGGGTCACTCAGGTCTGGAAGATCAAGGAACACAAGCAGGGGAAGAAGATCAAGAAGGTATCCTTTGCTGATCCAATAGCAACTGAGCTGCAAGCACCCAAGAGCACCATCCCAGACGACAGCATCATGCTCATCAAGGGTACCCTTCTCATGTCACCACAACCCAATGAAACTAACCCACTTGCCGCTGACTGTTTCATTTTGAATTCCCCATGTCCAGTGACTGGTCAAGTGAGCACGTGAATAATGATGCTGAAAATAGTGTGGTTGTCTCAGTCCCATTAACTCATGCTACAATGACTGAACATAACCCTGCAGACACCACAGCTATGAAGGGGATGCAAATGGAGCAGCACATCAAGCCGGGTAGCGTAGCCACCGTGGACTCCAACATCATCACACCAAAAGCAGGCATGGACATGGAGGGGCCGATGGGAGAGCGGACCAGTGCACCCACGGAGAAAAAGCTGGAGCTGCTGCTGGATCACCTGAACAAGATCCTGGTAAGCCCCCCAGCTTCTACAGCCGCTGCATTCTCTGACAATGAAGTAGAGAACCAAGATTCAAGTAATGCAATAGCCCAAATGGCCAATGAAAATCTTGACTTAGAAGAGAACCAACATTCGAGTAATGCAATCTCCCAAATGGCCAATGAAAGCTTAGACTTAGAAGTGCCTACAACGATGCATAGTCAACCTATAGAGGAAGTAGAGGAAATAAGTTTAGCCCTACTGGTACCAACTATTGACCAGTCATGAAACAACTCTACTGATGGCCACCAACCACAACCACCCTCCATAGATAATTTCATTGAATCAATTTCGAGACCCCTTCCACAACCCTTACTGGAAGTGCATAACACAG